CCACCCAAGAGAACATTTGAATAGTATTATCATCCTCTCCAGACTCCGATGTTGAAGGACCGATCGCCCTCAGAAATTACCTCCAACACTGGCTGCAAAACGAGTGGCTTGTGATAAGGATTTTTTTTTTTCCATCAGGCAATGTGACCTGAGATAAGCATTATCGTAATGTTCACATTTTCCAAAGAATAGGACTATATGGTACATGTAACTACAGGGCGAGTAAAAAAAAAAAAAAACCCAAATGTCAAGACTATTGTTTTAGTGACGTTCTGCATGTAGCACCTTCAAAATCTAGGATATGAAAGCCCAATTCATAAGCTTTCTTTTAGTAAGTCATAAAGCAGATGACTCCTGAAGTACATGTGTAACTGAGCTATCTTGAAGTTACACCTGCTGACTTCAAGAAGCCACTATCAGGCCCTCCAGTTTGCAAATGAATCTACCTTTTTTTCCAACTTTTACTAAGCTTAAGAATCATTCCTAACTAATTATAGCCCCTCAAAAACCGCAGAGCAATCACGAGGGGAATTCCTTTCCAGCCCGTGGCAAACCCAGGCCTTCCGATCGTTTCCTATCAGGGCTCTCCTTCTTGAGTCATGTGAGACTGGGTATGGAAACGAAGGGACTTCCTAAAGTGGAAATGTAGCTCAGCTGGCCGGAGTGTATAGGAGCCTGGTAGGGCGTTGCCAAAAATAAAGATCAGCTGGAAGAACAGTATGTCCCATGTGGGATGAGAGTTGGGGGGGGGGGGGGCAGGGATGGTGGGAAGGGTGGACACACACCACTCCTGTTGAACATGTGGTTATCCAGCTAGCATTAAAGACAGCTTAACCATTATCAAAGAGGCTTTGTTTGCTCGTAGAGAAACTTGTACAATTTGTTCCCAGCAATCCAGATGAGAAATCAGAACAACCGGCTGCCAATCAGATGTCATAGTGAGGCAGATAAGGGAAATATAACGGGGGAACTGTGCCTTAATTTAGCACACAGTCAGAGTATGTCATGACATGCATGAGAAAGATATCGCAAATTTGTCCCTTGGAAAAAAAATGTAGGTAGAATAACAGGCAATTTTCAAAATTTTCAAAATAGCTGCCATTGCTTGTTATTTTGCTACCTACATTTTTTCAAGAGCAAATCTGTGATGGCCCTATAGCCAGATGTCTTTCTCAAGACATACGCAAACTGTGTGCCAAATTCCATGCTTGTATCATCACAAGGCACAATTCCATCACCTATATCTGCCATACTATCATCACCCTTGCAGACTGTTCCATTTAAAAATGGTCAGCAGAAACACATAGGAACATGCACGTATGTCGTCACCCTGATTCAGCGACAGTTTCTCTAGTCACGGTAATTTTGCTCGGAAGCCTGGGTTTGGATTTTTGGACTAGTGTACCATCTAGAAACATTTCTGTTTAAAGTGCTGTTGAGTGATGTTACCTGTAGGAGTAAAATAAACCAAATCCAGGACAAACTTCTAAAACAATTGAAACTTTTGTAACAGAGGCCGTGAAATCAATCTTCCAACAACAAAAAATCCCTCAAAGAGCGAAACCCACTTTTGAGAGCAATTTTCACCTACTTGTTGAGCATACCCGGTATTTCAAAAATTCAATGTAATGGTATTAAAATATTGATCTTTGAAAATACATTGTAAGTGACGAAAAATTGATTGCAAATGCATTTCTTCGTGTAGTTTAAAAATTTCATGTGCCAAACCTGTTTGTCCACGGACGGCTTTATTCCATCCGCTTGACTATTAGCTCCGGAGCTTGATTTGATGACAAACACACACAACACTAGACTTACACGTGGACAACAGTGATTTCGGTGACTTGTATTCAAATTAGCAAAATAACACTATCCTGGCAATTTTTTAAAAGATTTTTTCACCACATAATAGTTGAAGAGCCATACTTCGCTGCATTATAAAAAATCAGTTCAAATAAGTTAAGTAAGTAGGTTAAAATTCCTGTCAAAACTGGGTTTCCTTCTCTTTGCACCATCCTGTAGAAGTCTGCCTAGCTATAGTCAACATGTTTAAGACATTATTCCAATTAGACTGGGATATATCTGACTTTCACTGTTGAGCCACCCAGTACAAGGTTCATCAAAAAGTCAAGTAAACTCACTGCTTAATTAAATTAAACTAAAAACCTTTTTTTTTTAAGGGTCTCCTCAAGCAGTGGGCCGGGACCCTCGTGTTTCTAGAGGAAATTAAATTGGGAGGATGTTGTCTGTGCAAGGTGCTAGATCTCATCTCACATTGCCAGAGGGCCTCACATTCCCTATCAGGAAGCATCAACGTTGACAGACAGAGTGGAGAATTAAAAGGCCAATAATTTTCCTCGTTATAATTAGTTGCGGGTGAAAACTATTGATTAGTATTTTTCCCACGGGCTTGAGCTGCTGGTTGGTGGGTGGGTGGGTTGGTTGGTGGACAGTTTACTCGGCCATATATTGTATTCATGCAACTCAAGTATTACAGCTTTGCTTCCGAAGACCGGTTTTGATAACACTGATGCGCATGCGTCTAATTTGCATATTTTTGCATATTAGATCACGCCCCATTCATTTTCGTTTTCTGTACTCTCGAGGTACCGGTACGGCCCGGGTGCGCGCACAGACGGTACGGTAAGCTGTCTTCACACGTTACCCAGCCTCCGTGGGTTGTGCCACTGGGTACGTGTTATTTAACAATTGTTGACTGCTGTGATGTGGGATATGCCTTTTTTAACACCTGAGGGGTGCATAACGCTATGCGCCCCGAGGAGGTTAAAAATGGCATACATATCAGCAATTGTTTTGCTACATGTACATTGAGCCAATAAGCCAAAAGGATGAGTGGTTGCTATTTACTGGTACTATGCAATATATAAATGAAATCAGTGCGGTGAAACTCTTGATAACTGCAGGCTTTCCTTGAGCGGTTGCGCATATTGCACGAGTTTTCAGTCTCGACATGCGAGAAGGTTCTACACAGGCGTGCAGGCAACACGCATTAATTGTACCGGGTACATGAGGTTAACCATTGCACATACAATGTAGGCATTTTTACAGACTGGACACGTGGCCCTTCTCGACCAATGAAATTACAGTATCCAAGCACATGATATAACAATACTATTTATAAATTTATAAAAGTTTGCCCCTGCCAGCTGGAAGACTCTAAACTCTCCCGTTAATTAACCTCCCCCTCTCTGAATATTTCTTGCAACATTACTGTTCTTTTATAGGGGACATTTTGTTTGCAAACAGGAGAAATCGCTGATATAACAATTAATTTTTTTTATGTTGATTCAAGGCAGTTCCTACAGTGTTATCAATTTGTAAGTAAAATTTTTCTGTGAAGTATGTACACACATCGTATTTTTTTTAACATATTTTTTTTTTATTTGTCTGTTATTTTTGGTATTGTATTCTACTCTTTTTTTTTAGGAAACTTCAACAACCAACCGCCCTTAAATCCCCTGCCTCTGCTTATATCTGGATCACACAAATTCCACATAGATTACCTATGACTCAATAGTGTTGAAAAGCCAATCTCCATCTACGTGTTGGCTCGCATTATGAAGCCCGGCACGTGTACAGTACCTGGTAGTTCATGCTATCCAGGTTTAGCTTTTTGTGTGCCCGCGTTAACTGTATGTCACATACACATTTTCAATCAATCACTGCCAATCCCATAGAGTTTTATCTACCGGGCGGGCGGCATGAACCTGAAAATGAACCGCAGATGGCATACGGCGTAAACAGCTAAACATCAGAGATTTTGAAAAAGTCAGTGGAACTTACATGTAATTCAACAATGAACAAATAGAAGAGAAAAAATCAGTGGAACTTCAACAATGAACAAATAGAAGAGAAAAAGCCATGTTGATGGTAAACATCTTTATGTTGTGACTGAAATATCCAACCCCACACCTATAATTGCGTGTAAGTTGTGAGAAATACATTTAAGTATTGCCTCAAAAATCAGATAAATGATTAAATGTGAGGCGTTCTGGCAGAATGAGACAGAACTGGTCAGAGGTTGAAATGAGGGTTTGCGGGTTTTATATGAAAGAGAATAAAATTCTTCTTACAGTTATACAATACTCAGGCATGCAACTGTACTTTCACACAAAAAAAGGAAATTCCAAAATTCAGAAGACTTTGTACAGTGTTTTTCTATTTTGAATGGCTGAAATGGGAATAAAAAAAAGAGGAAATCAGCTGATCCGAGGAAAAGTTGCATGCCTGGACACTGTTTGTTCCACTTCAATCAGACATTCCATTGACAAGTTGGGGCTGTTTATAGCTTTGCATTTACATGTATCGACATGTCAAAAAGTAAAATACTGAGAAAAAGGCCTTTAAAGTAGTTGAGTTTTGTATGCGTGAAAGTGAAAGATGCCAATCGTTTTCCTTAAAAAACTTTTATTCCATGATTTTTATACTATTTCTTGAAAAATGTGTAGTAGACATGTCAAAGATTACATGTACATACATCAATAAATCTGAAAATCAGATAAAAAATACCCCCATTTCTTTTTTGGGGGCATTTTTCTCCACTACAGCCCATGCCCAGTTTAGTCTCATTTTTCAATAACGCCTTACAAATACTAAAACTTTGGTACTGTAATAATGCAGTTTTTCACTTTGAAGTTCTTATTTTCAGACATTTGTATCAGATTTTCTAGTTTCTGAAACCAAATTGTAGCCCCCGCACCAAATTGTCTTTTGTATTCCTTATCAATAAAATTGCTGGGGTTGAACAATAATTTCCCCTAAAAAAATGTCAAACAAATCCAATTATTCTCTTGTAAAAAGACTCTTCAAACTTATTGCATACATTTGGTTTATTCATTTCTTAGTCATGTCACAGATGTCCGGAGGTATGTTTTAAAGAAAGGTATAATCAGATGAAATTTAAAAAAAAATCACTCCAACTTGATGATCCTAATCAGTTAACGCACTGAAACAGATTCCCCACAAATAAACCTACGTACCTTCTAACAGCAAGCAAATAATTCCACTTTCCAGAAGTCCTGCTGAACTGAAAAAAAAATCCCAAGCTCCCTCCTCAAAAGAACTTTCTGTACTTTCACCAAAAAGTTTGACCAGCAGACAGAATCCTGTCATGGGACAGAGGAATAGTATCTTTCCCAAGTTCAATTCAGCCCGGCTCACTCTGTTCTGTGACTGGCTTCAGTCTCTAGCACAAAGTTTTATTCAGTCGGCACTGGCCTTTATTGTCACTCATTGGAGTGTAATCGACCAATGAAAAGGCTGCTTTCTTAAGGGGAGGCCTCTTTTTGGTGGTGTGGTGCTAAAAAAAAGTTTTGTTATGTGGGCCAGCATGATCAAGTTCAATCTCTGGCCTTGATGTTTTTGGGGTTTTTTAACTCTGTGTGATATAAAATGAAAATCTGAAGGAACTATGTATTGTAAGACGTTTTTTAGGAAAGTAAAAGTTAGTTCTGAGGTTGTAAACAATGAGATCATGTGACCAACTGCAAGACTGTTGTGGTCGTATTCGAAACGATTTCTTAACACATAATGAGGTGACAGCAGCATGGGTTGAATTAACTATTTATTAGGCCGAGTAAAAATTATAAGTAGTTTCCCGTCTGGCTTTTTTTTTTTTAATGAAGGAGGCGGGCACTTTTTTCCTTTTTCTTCCTTTTTTTCTTCCCAAGATGGTAGATTTTCCAAGATAGCGATGGATTTGTCAATTTTCTCAACTATTTAGCTGATACATAATTGTGTCCAAAAGGAGCCATTATAACCCTTTCTACATAGCTACAATTTTGTTGGAAACAAATAAAAAAGACGAAATAGTGACTACATATATGTGTCAACTATTTTTCAAATGTGTGTAATATTTCACATATTCAATGCCTTCGTCTCATTTATTGTGCATGAGTAAAAACCAACTAACCATAAAACTGAGCCTAAAACTACATTACACAAGGTGGATTCACTGTAGCTTGCATGTTTTGAGGGAACAGAGAACACATACATCAGCTATGTAGGCCTCATGCAGTGTTGGCAAACAAAGTCTCCATTTGTGCTCTTGAATGGATGTAGATTTTTTTGTATTGCGGTGTAAAAAAGAATGGGTAAAAAGTCCTTAATTTCTTGCATCTCAAAGGCACGTGCGTGGGGCTCTGCCTAAATTTAGGAACTCTTTTGTGAATAATGCTTTATGTTAAAATGCTCTGGGCAAGTGGGTTTATTTAAAATGTTGGTTGAGAATGTGATTTTGGTGACGCGCTTAGAAAGTGCATTCTATAGGCACGAGGTACATGTACACCATTTGGGGAAGCAGACCTCTTGGCCCAGTTTCAAGTTTTAAAAGAGTGAAGCTGGATTCAATCCCGCAATGCTGGGTATGGTATTGAAGTGGTCCCAGGTTCTAATGCCTCTCTAAGTTTGTGTCAAAATTTAAGAAATGACCCCCACCAAAAATTGACCCAAATGTTCACTAATTTGTATAAAACTTGGGGGGAAACACAACTGGAAAAGGACACAATGTTCAAGTCTTGGTCCTGAAGAAGCCAACGGTTTATAGTGGTGTTTCCTTAATTAAAGCAGCATGCTCTATTGAATTTACTATTTTTATGTTTTGCTAAATTTACAAAAGTCTTATCATGGTTGGGAATGGTTTGAAAAGGTGAGTTAGATGATCAAGAATAATTTCAAATTGTTGCACCTTATTTTCCCTTTTTTTCGCCCTCATCTATGAACAGGTACAAAGTTGTCAAAGTCTTACATGTCAACTAATACTTGGAACAACTCCACAATTTTCAGCCCTGAAGCTCAAAAGTGCCTAAACGTTTTTACGTTTGCTCGGGTATATTTCAAGGGTGGGCAAGGTTGCATATTTATTCCCAGGAGACTGCGTGTCTGAAATGTTGCATGGGACAGGGACATTGTGCAACCTTCGTACGGGAACAAAAACAACATGTCACGCAGATTTAGTTAGAGAATAGAACTGCGCCTACGCATGCCACTCTGAACTTGGTCGCCCTTTTATGTAAACAAGAGAAAAAGTCAGCAATGTTAAACACCTTTGTTCTTCTTTCTTTTGGAAAGAAAATATCGCGTGAGTGACAGTTACAATGGACGTATTTAGGTGTAAATTGGATTGGTAGATTGGTACAATTTACATTGTGACTAGCTTCAGTTGAACAACAACTTTTATCTGCATATTTCTTCTTCTTTTTTCCAAAGTATTTTCATGTACATGTAGGACCCTACCTATTGATAAATAGGAAAATGACACATAAATTGCAGAAACCACTGGTTTAAAAAAATCAAAAATCAAACCCAATGAACAGATCCTCCTGAAAAAATCAAGAAAACTGACAAGAAAAACCTGGTGTTTGTCATTCAGTTAACATGTGTACCTTTTGATGGTCTGCTGTACGTGTGACCCAATAATAATAAAGTTGATCTACTTTTCGTGCTTGATCATGTTTTGTATATTAAAATAATTCTGTGGCTAAATAACCAGATGGCACTTTAAAGGGAATATACAACATTTGCAAACATCGAAAAACAAAACTACCAAATTATTATGAGATAGGTTACTAGACTGAATGACAGTCTAAAGGATCCTGTAAAATCATGGCACGTGGTATGCTGACATTTTCAAGAAAAAAGGTATTTTTGTATCAATTGGTCGGCCGACCAGTGTTGGGGGGAAAAAATGGCTTTTCTCAAAATGTTTTTTTTTTCTACAAATACTGCCCCCAATTTACCATATTTAGTTAGTCTGCATTTTGTTTGCAATCGATTGCGCATCTACTGTATGAACCAATACAAGCCAGCTAGACTGGTTCCCTGACCTTACAATTTCCTGACATCTATAGATTGCTAAGTTTCATCGTAAGTGGGGTCAGGGAACCAGACTACAGGAACATGATTGTTTTTCTTGGTTTTCTTTTCCAGTGTAGCATAATAATACTAACCCCCCAAATCCATCCATTTCTGAAAATTACGGCAAAAGTAAATGTTGTATATTCCCTTTAAGCAGTTGATAACTTCACTTAACATGTATCCCCTTCCCCCACCCTCATATCCCTTCCCCCACCCTCATATCCCTTCCCCTTCCCCCACCCTCATATCCCTTCCCCTACCCTCACCCTCATATCCCTTCCCCTACCCTCATATCCCTTCCCCTTCCCCTTACAACCCTGATACCTAAATCTAGAGAAGAAAAAAATTATCACCAAAAAAAAGAACCCAGAAATAGAAGCAGGTCTTAATTCAAATTCCTGGCACCCGATCCTCATCTAGATTTTTTCACCCTGTCATTCCAGAGAAACAAAACTTCTTCCTAAAGCAGGACACCCTTTTATTGACATGTACTTGAGAAACCCTTCTACCAGCAGTAAGAACAGCTAGGATCCTACTGGGGTCCTTGAGGGGTATAATGGCCTGGAGTCCTTGAGACACTTGTTGGAGATTTATTACAGCCTTGATCGTGATGCCCACTTAGCTGGCTGGACGCTCAAGCCAGGACATATCAGTTAACAATTTAAATGCGGGAGTTGGGGGAAGGACGTAGTCCACAAATAAAGGTTAGGAAGGGTCTCTTAGATTTTGTAGTTTTGTCAAGAAGCGATGAAAACATGGATTTCATGCAGCCTTTATAAAAATTTTAGCAGGTTTGTGAACTTTTACCAACAGTTAAATCAAAAAGCTTTGATTTTACCGCTGGGTGAGTAACTCGAATACTCGAGGAGTTGTGAGTAGTTTATGCTACTCATTGTTCTATTCGTGGTTTTTCATCTACTCGAGTACTCATCCTGGCACGAGTAGAAGTAAGTACTCGCGAGTAGCAATTTAGGGTTTAGGGGTCACAGCTTAGGTACATCCCCTGCAAACATGGAATCACTCCCTCCACCTCTTTCTTCCTAGGATTTTATTCGTCTAAAAATAAAAATAAGTCAATGACTCAAAACGTCGCACAGTAAGGATATCCCAGTGTTGAAGAATGTGGTGTGACAGGCTATTTGCTTGTAGTTACTTACATGTACCGTCATACTGTTGAATATGTTATTTTTCTGCTTTTATGGGAATTGGTTAACTACTCGTGAGTACTTGACTACTCGTGAGTAATTTTTTTGCAAGTACTCGAGTAGAAAAATACACTACAGCCCAGGCCTATTTGATTTGACATCACAAAGGGTTTGTTTTATTTGTTAATTTTTTTGGGGGGGGGGTAGCGTTAATTTTTGTAAGTTTATAGATGGACGATATGGATCAATATGTGCTGATGTGCTTTTACCTATATATGTACAAAAAATTGCTTCTAATTTTGTGCCCTGAATTGGTCTATACACATATACTGGAATTTGTATCCTTGTGGAGTCATTTCTTTGTTCTCGTGTACTAAAGTTTTTGAGTTTGAAAGTGTACTTTCAAAATGCTCCTATTTTAACCAGAATTAATTTCCTAGGCTGAAATTCGGACTTAATATCCCTTACATGAAATACTTCAATTTGCGACGGTTCAACACACCTTGGAAATTCCTAGGTTTTGAGTAAAATCCATATACATGTATCTATTTCATGATAACCTTGTGGAGAATATTCGCCTATAGATAGAAATTGCTCTGTGGAGACGTATACAATCTTTTGTTCCTTATTGTGCACATGTCTCCACAGGGTACCATGTACCAGATCATCAGGTACATAACTTCGTATTAGACTTGCTGGTGTGCAATCGAGGTGTGTTGACTTTACAGTGCTTTTTAAAGTTGACAGAAACAGAACATTCTCCAGGGTTGTATTTAACAGTAAAAAAGGGATTATGGTTGACCCTGAAATGGAAATGAACAGTCATTGATGTGAAAGTCCCTGATAAATTCTATTCAATGTATCATGATCAAAAAGGCAGAATAACATTGCTGATTGTAAATGTGTTGGAATACATTCCCACCGACGAGATCAACTCTGTTCATGCATGCATCCTTCCTTAATCTGGCTTCCTTTCAGTGCCGTCTTTCATTATTGACAGGAATTTGGAGAAACGAAGCTTGTGAATCCTTTGAAGTTATTACAATCCTTGGCTGGGCGATAGTTTTGTTGTTGTTCTCTTGCTAACTGCCAGAGTTGAAATCATCACAAGTCATCCCAAGTCAATCACAAATCATCCTGACTCAAGTCAAGCAGCAAACTGTTCAAAAGAACCATGATACGGTACCTGTTACTTTTTAATT